CCCAGTTTGTGCGACGGCTGCCGACAACAGGGTCTGCCAGTGCACCCCCTAGATATTGGCAACTGTTATTGCACAAAGATAACGCCTGCCGGAATGCGATGTGGCCGCCATGTTTGTCCAACGCATCTAAAACGTGGCCCCTTTGGGGGTACACACACATTCCTCGCTATGGGAAAAAGTAATTCCGACGCACTTTAAGCCATCATGACGCGCTGAGAGTGATCGATTGAAGGGGCGCCAGCCGACGGGGAAACACCCCTTCTCAGGACAGTGGGTCACATAGTCATGTCTCCTTGCTTAACATGACCTGTATAGCCTGCCCTTTTACGTGAGATGGGAGACTCCTGACAAATCTTGCCTGACACACGGATCGGGCATGGGACCGATTGTGTGGCACCCGTAGACGGACTGCGTAACCTTCTTCACCACTCATTATGAGCTTCCCTAAATAGACAACATAGTCTCTCTCGTGTCATTTCCTCAGGCCTGCGTACGCCATCTACGTCAAACTGCACTTAAGCTCCACCAAGGCAAACGTCTTGAAGAGAGTGAGCATTTTCTAGATTTGCATAAAATATCCACTCGTACAGCCTTGACCTAGGATAAGGGCAATGTACACAAGTACTTTTTTGAATTGCCTGGCAGATGTGAATGCAAGCTGAAGTTATGCCCACTGAGTACCACTATCTCACAGAAAGCTCATATTTGCGTATATTTCAAACATCCACTACCTGCCGTAGCATGGTTATTAAACCACACGTCTTCCTCTGTTGGCATGCCATGTAATACTGTAGGCAGTGAATACGTGTAGGCGGTTCTATGACGCCTTTCTGTGCGAGTTTCTGAGAATTCTGTCGTCCTTGCTGTGTTCCTGTCAGAGCGACTAAGGAGACAAACCATGAGTCATTATTGAACTTACCGGTACTGCCGCACAGAGGCCGCAGTCGGAGCAACTATAAAGGTATTCGCAGCACTAACCTTCCTCACATTTCTCTGCTGTGGTAAGAGATATAAATAGACGTTGGGCAACGGTAGATGTAACAATTAAAGCGCTGTATCCTTGATGAACTTGTAGGCCTTACCGATTTGCTCCTTAACCAAATCCCTTCCCTCAATGGGGGGCGTGATTGACGAAAGTCGTGTAGCATTTTCGTAGTTTGGATCTTTGGTGATGCTCAAACGGTTGGCTGGAACGAAATGGATAACTTCGAAGGTATGTACTGCGTACTTGTCTGCACCTGCAAGGAGGTAGGAGATGCATTTAGATTTTCTGCACTTTCTGCTACACGCGAATCCAAGCACTGCGAGCAGTTCTTAATGAGTAAATGACGAATTTTAAATGATTGTCGTCTAAAAGATTGCGGAGCAGCGTTCGAATTGAGGACAATGAATCCCCTAGTCGAGTTGTGTGTTTATGCTATGATATATGGGAAACGCGCCCTCGAGTGTGGTAGACTTTGTGGAATCAGATATGCATTTGTGCCAAGCGGCTGCACAGTGTGCCAGACTGTTTACTAATCTTTCTAAACAAAGGAACGCCAGTGAATGAATTGGCTGCGTACTTTGGCCCTATCCCAATCATTTTTATTTGTGGAAAGCATGAGATGAGTCCCAAACGGCCTCACTTAGCATAATTTCCCCCCCCACTCCCCGACATCAGTTTCTAACAGGCTGCCCAAATGTACTAACTTTGCGACTGCGATAAATATGTTTTTCTTTTAATCCGTTTGAGATAGATAGTTTTGAATGGGTGGCGTCTTATTGATGACAGCACGATCGCGAACAGACGGCTTACACCCCACCCGCTCTTTGTCGCGCATCATATTGACTGCAACACGATCTCAGTGGACTACGTTCAGGCTACTCATAGTTGTCCGCATAGATTATGGTATACAATATGCGTCGGCACACGATCTGGTTAACTTAACGCATCAGTTGCAGGCGTACGCCAAGCTGGAGTCTGATAAACGACAATATCGACTGGCCGAGGTGAATGTAGACACTCACCGATGACTGCCAGAGTGCAGTGTCGGACGGACGGGCTCACGGTCTGTCCGGTTACTTAATTGTACCTGGTAGAACTGCGATCATGCCATATCTAGCTAGCCTCGATGATGCCCCGAACTGTACCTCTCAACGCCTGACGTTTAGTGGCTGCAGATCTGGATCGTTAAACTCATACTCTTCGCCAACCACGGAGACCGAAGTCTCAAGATACAAGAACCACTTCCATGTCTTGACAGACGGCTTCGAACCAGGTTTTGCTTTGACTCCCTCTTCGACTTCTCTGATGGGGTAACGGGGGCGGATCGAGGGTGGTAACACTGAACTCTTAAGGTAGATGACGAAGAACCCGTCCAAACTACCTCAATCGTCTTTCTGGTATGATAGCATAACCTGTGAAAGGAGGCAAGTGTTGTTATTTCAGAGAAATGTTTGAGTATATTACAAAACGTGGTAAGCTTTCTCAGTTACTTTCAGGTTGACGAAGTCGTGTTGGAGATGTTATCGTGATAATTCATCTGAGCTATACGAACTTCACGAACTCCGATGCGAATTCAGGGGGTGAGCATTTGGACTTGGCGTCGTAGGAAATTTATCTGATTTTAAAAGTTCGGGGGATATTGCAAATTATGACAGGCAAAGCTTCGAAAATTAAATAGACTTTGCCTTAGTTTTTTATAATTGTGATTCGGTTATGCGTGCTGTTTCCAATCCGGTTTACGGTACATAAATACCTAACCTCGGGTTTACGGATGGTACTCTGGAGATTATTATTTATTCATCAAACTTTCGTTCCTACGACGTCCCCATCGGTCAAATCAAGCAAAATTCAGCTTCTCCTGTTAAACCCCATCTCATTTACTTCCAGCAAATAAAAGGAATCACTGGAAGACTGTTTTGGAATCTACACTCAGAATGTAGGCAGTTGACAAACTGTCACATACGAAACCGCATTACTTATTAAAAGATAATTTGCAATAATTTGCAAAATTTCGACACAGTTCATGAGTAAGGTCACTAACTGTATGCAAGGAAGCAAGTGATATTATTTCAGAGGAATGTTTGAGTGCATTACAATACATGGTACGCTTTCTCAATTACTCTCAGGTGGACAAAGTCGTGTTGGAGATGTTATCGTGGTAATTCATCAGGGCTATACGAACTTCACGAATTCCGATGCGAATTCAGGGGGTGAGCACTTGGACTTGGTGTTGCAGTGAGTTTCTCTGGTTTTGAAAGTTCGAGCAGGCGGATGCGACATGTGATGAAGCCAACTGCCTGAGATGGTGACTTTGTGGTTGATCGCCTACGCGTGCGTCACTGCTGTAGGTGGCGAGAAACCGAAGAGATGAGCTGTGTTGGGACAACAGCTTTATTTGCCTGACGTTTCGGATTCCTGCTCGAACCCGTTATCGGAGGCAAAAGCGGATACGGATGATTCATGTACAAGGGGCTGCAGTATTTAGAGGATGCAGTCGCCATGCTACCGCATACCCATGAATATTTACGGCTCCCCACACCCTTTATCAGATATCGCTGAACTTGGTCTGCTGACAATTTTGATGGCCGATATTAGCGTCTTTAATTGTTGCAATTTCATCACGTGCGTTTGATGTTGTGGTGTTGGAACAGGGTTCACCTGCGCGCTTCCCGCGTGGCTAATTACTTGGGCATGAACCACACGTATCTGCCTTTGTCTCTGATGATGGGTACGAGCAAGAATCCGAAACGTCAGGCTAGTAAAGCTCTTATCCCAGCGTTCGTGTCTCCTTCTTCAAAATTAAGGTTATATCATTTTGACACAAGTGTGAACTCTCGGCGATCTCGGTGGGATTTGAAACCACGTTGGGAACAGGGTTCACCTGTGCGGTTCCCGCGTGGCAAATAACTATGCCAAGGCGAAGTCTCAGCAGTGGGTATGGAAGGCGAAGGTCATTGCACTTGTTTATAGGCGGCAGTAAACCATGAGTAAAGCAGCTCCCGGTTCACATCTTACGAGAATTTCAGCCTCGTCTAATGCATGCAACTTGCATCCAGTAATTGACTTATACGCGTTAGTAGCTGTGCCATGGAGGCATACAGTAGGTGGGCTAACGCACTAAATGTCAACTGAATTTATGCAAAACGTTTTCGTTTCGAAAAGATTAATTAAGTGGGATTATAAAACTAGTCAGCCTGCAAAATAATTCTATAATATTTAAGTTGCACCAGGATTCCGGCTTTTGAAGGAAATTCCTGCCGACTGCATACAGAATCTGTAGTCTGTACAAAGTGCTTACTTAATTAGAATGCATTCTACAACTTAATTTTTGATGCCCCTATAAGTCCACTTATATTTCCTGAAAAACATGCATAAAAATATTCATTCTTTTGCTCATTCGGTAGATCATTACGTCTTCTTCTAATCTTATATTCGAAGTAAGTATTTAATTGGGTTTTCAAAATCTTTTCTTATTCCAGAATACTTTTGAACCCGCTGTACCGTTGCACGTGGATTCAGGGTTTCCAAACTACAAGCCGAATATTTTCCGCATAAGGAAAACCACACATTTCTCTACGGTACTAAAGGGGGAGACCATGTAGGGTTCATAACATTTAGCAGTGGATTTTATCCGTATTGTTAAATTTATAAGCCACAATGCTAAGTGAAGACTGTAATAATTCTGTCGCTCTTGCAAGTGTAATTACCTGATGACAGTCGTGGCTAAGAAGGATGCCAGATGGCTGAATAAATTGGTACTGCCTTGAAACTAAGTTTACTTGGCGTTCGGTTCTTTTTAAAGGGGACTTTAAGTGCAACTCGAGTCTCCTTACATGGCAGTGACTTCGAGTCACGCCATCCACGTCTCTACTCGGCTTGACTCGGATAGGACACGCGCAAAGTGTAACAAGCAAGACTTCTTAAATGAAATAAACTTTGCTGTGTCTTCGTAATATGCAAATGTGGTTATGTGTGTTGTTTCCAATCCGATTTACGGTAGATAAATACCTATACTCAGGACTAAGGATGGTATTCTGGAGATGATTATTTATTCATCTACCGTTCCATCCCCGTACGTGAACGCATTATGGGGGTAGATAATAGAGAAATGCATGGTTTTAATAAGTCCTTACTCACCCCAAATAGGGCCATCATTCTCTATCCTGAATACGTAAGTGGTGGCTGGCGATCACGTATGACACCGTTAGGTCGGCGTTTCGTTTTATCGAGTTGGCGTCTGATTGCCAGGCCTAAATTATTTCACTTGCCACTCCGCTTTCCATCGACCGAGCAATTGTACACTGTTAAATTCAAGCGAGTGGTCATATTCCAGACCGTGCCTAACCACCGGTGATTACACGTTTTTTTGTTTTACGGCTAGAGCGTGTTCATGCATTCGCGTTATCAGCCGTTTGTTGGTCATGCCGTAGTAATTGTTCCTACAGCCTAGACGGTTAGCGCGGTACATGACGCCCGACGTTTCCTCAGGATGGTAGCCTTCCTTCGGCTGCATGACTAGGCGGCGGATACTGGCCTCCGGCCGGTGTCCAACACCCACGTTGGGTGGTTTCAACACACGTTCACTTGCCCTGGAGACGTTCCTCACGCAAACCAAGAAACAAACTACTTCAGGTTTTTGGTTTTGCTCACCGTCGGCTTTTGTGTGCCTTTGGAACAAGCATTTCTTGTCGAAGCTGCCTTAGTATCCATTGACGAGGAAGAGAAGCGCAAGGGATGCACGCTCTTGTAGCTTCTCGGCCTCTCTGCTGCAGTGCGTGTTTGTGCGAAACACAGTGTCCTGGGAGAACTGCCTTTATACCCAGAGCTCGCCTTACTTTCATTTTCCATCTGAAGACACGGGGTCAGCATTTTCGCTCTTAACCTTATATATCCGGAATGAGAGAGAATGCACGCCGTCCAGGCAATTGAAGGGAAGAAGGCGGGAAGGCGATCGCTGGGACCAATTGTTTATTTATCCGACGTTTCGAACTCTCACGCGAGCCCATCGTCAAGGGATGAAAAACTGTACAACTTATCGTATTTTTAGTTCACCTCTGTGGGGGATGACCTGCAGCTGCGCTGCCGATTTGTTCATCCAGTGCTTGATAAACGACTGGCAAATCGATATGCCGACGCAGTCTCCACTGACAGACTTAAGCCAGCCTATTTTGAGTGCATCCTGCGGTCAGTTGTGCCACCAACTTCCTCTGCACCGTCCTCACACGATGCACCCGTTTCGGTTCCCTCCACTCAACCACCACACTCGACCACCCCACCCACCCATCCTGATTCTCCTACCACTGCACCACGCACCTCATCTCGTTCTGGTAGACATTCATTTTCCTGTTAAACTCAAAGACTTTTTGGCGTAACTTTTGCATTTTTATCGATCGCTTTTGTACAACAAATGCTCTGGTGGGGGAGTTGTGTAGGTTTACGCACATTTTCGATTTTTCACTCTAAACTTTCTTGTAAACCTGAGCGTTTCTGTTGTTTAAATTAGCTAAAATACACACACTTGGTCGCAACACCCTCGTCATTTCTCACGCACTCGAGTGCGACCACCGTTTCAATTAGGGTGGCACTGAGGTCGTCGCCATGGCTAACACAAAACGGGCTAGAGAATTTTCCGATGCTTGGTACTCCAATGTTGGTAGTATCAACCGCCATGTTGACCTGGACGCCCATTACGAGGGCCTACGCTCACGACTTAATGCTCCCTGCCCTAATGCCACATCAACGGCCGCTAATCTAGCCACCCAGCGTCCAATTGATCCACCATCCACCCTCCCCCTCCAGCACAGGCACCCGTAACTGTTCCGCCTCCCCCCTCGCACAGAGACATACTATGACTCTGTGACCATCCCTCTCATAGGCCAATAGTCTGTCTGTCCTGTGGAGCTAACTAGTCTAGTGTGATAAACCAACTTTCTCCCTTGTCTTTTTTTCGGCAGACGACGGGTTGGTGCCACCAGATCGAAAATTCACGAGTACAACTCGATTTTTCCGAAGAACCTCTTCCTTTTTTCACATAGGTATAAATATCTGGTGTGGGGGGTATGTTCAAGAGGATCCTGTACCAGTCATTAAATGACGTATCGAGTAAATTAATTTGTGAGCCTGTCAAATTGGATTGTTCAGAGATCTTGGTCGGACAATTGGTCTACCACACTTGGACAGATAAAAATTAGTACTGAGTGCCTGCATTGGTGTGAATGATTGTTCAAAGGGTTCTTTCATAGGCAAGGGGTACGGAAATTGAACATTGTTTTTAGCTCAAATGCCAGCCGCCTAAACGCTCCACACATTTTGGTGCCAGAAATTTAATAAAATCTAGGTGACCACAAAAGACGCTCAAATACGGGCTCGTACGAATTTTCGATAACCAATAATCTGCACGGAAGTTTAGCCAGAAAAGCACCCAACAAAAGTGGACAGGGCATCCTAGATTGACGTTTATTCTGTGTATCAGTTTCCGGACTGAAATAGATTTCTAGGTCTGGTGCAGCATGAAATCGAGTACAAAAAACTCGGAAGATTAAAATACTCAGCGGTTGCTAGAACCGAAAATGGAGAATGTTTTTTTTAAAAATGGACAATGCAATTCCTCTATTCTCCATTCTCCAGCCACCTTTCTATGGTCTCAGAGAGTTCCGTTTCTGTAAGACTAGACGGCACTTTTTGCCAAAAGACCATTTTGATGCAATGCAGCAGTCCTACATCGATTGGACAAGATTCTGGCTTTCTAAGGTAGATTTAATTTGAAACTAATTTTTACAGTGTATTTCTTCAACTGGTCATCGAGAATTAAATAAAGCGCATCACTGCTTCCCAGTGGCACGACACTCCTCCAACGTCATCTCGCCTACGCTTGTGGCGTTCCTTGCTCCATCGCGGGGTTTAATTAGTGAGTACTGATCGAAAATGCATAATCTGTCTCCTACGTATGGAATAAACTCAGACGACTCGACTGCTTCGGACATAGTGGCCTGATTTTAAGTCGCTCGGTCATAGTAGGGGGAAAATTTTGATGCCGAACCTGTTGAACTTGCGTCCATAAACGCTCATCCCTTTATCACAAACCCCCGTGCCCTACACGTACAGTAGATGTGCTAACTCATGAAATGTCAACCAAAATTTCGAAATGCGTTCTCGTTTCGAAAAGATAAATCAAGTAGTGTTGTAAAACTAATCATGATGCAGCATAAATCTATAATGATCCAGTTACTTCAGGGTGTCGGCTTTCGAAAGAACTTATTTCTGGCTGCATACAAGATCTATACTCTGCAAAAATGACTACTTATGTAGTATGCAATTTTTTCATTGATTTTCGATGCCTTGAAAATTCAATTAAATTTCATGGAAAACATGCATAAAAATATTCATTCTTTTACTTATTCGGTAGAAAATCACGTCTTCTTCCAATTTCATACTTAAAAGAAGAGTATAATTCGGTCTTAAAAAAGTTTCTAATTGTGAGATTTTTTAATACCGTTAAATGGCCGTTCATGAGACGTCATGTATCTGCATTTACGAATGTGGCTTGTAAAGTTAACAATATTGCTGCATTTCTCTACGGCGTTAAGAGGAGACTATATGTGGTTCATAAAATTAAGCAGTGGATTTGAGCAATATTGTTAACTTTACAAGCCACATTCGTAAATGCAGATACATGACGTTTCATGAACGGCCATTTCACGTTATTTAAAAGTCCCACAATTAGAAACTTTTTTAAAACTGAATTATGCCACTCCTTCGAGTATAAAATTAAAAAAGACGCAATTACCTACCGAAGGGGCAAAAGAATGAATATTTTTGTGCGTTTTCCATGAAATATAATTGAATTTTTAGGGACATCAAAAATCAATGAGGAAAATTCATGCTACATAAGTAGTCATTTTTTGCAGAGTATAGATCTTGCATGCAGCCGAAAATAAGTTCTTTCGAAAGCCGACACCCTGCGGTAACTGGATCATTATAGATTTATGCTGCATCATGATTAGTTTTACAACATTACTTAATTTATCTTTTCGAAACGAGAACGCACTTCGAAATTTTGGTTGACATTTCCTCAGTTAGCACATCTACTGTACAATGAGCGGCCGATCTCATGAACTGTTGGCTGAAATTCTGAAGTATGTTTTCGATTAAGAATGTTTACTTAGGTGGGGTTGAAACACTCATTATCATGGGATATAGTCCTAAAATATTTCGGAATCAGCAGGATGTCGGCTTTTGAATGCGCCACATTTTAATCTCCTTGATAAACCCTACTCTGGAAAAATTACCACTTAATTAGCGTGCATTTTTTACAAAGATTTTCGATGGACTTGAAAATTGAAACATACTTTATAGAAACACGGAACAAAAATATGCTTTCTTTCAGTCAATAGATAGAGAATTACATCGTCTTTGTATTTTACACTCGAAAAAGGAGTATAATTAGGCTTTCAAAATGTTTTCCAATACCCGAATAATTTGGAGCCTGATCGGCCGTCGCATTAGCGCTTAGTGATTTCAGTCTACAAGGTGCGTGTGTTCTCCGTAAAGAAAATCGCATATTCTTCTATGCCTTTAAAAAGACACCATATATAATCCATAAAATTTTGCAATGGATGCGGACCATGTTGTACATTTCATTAGAGGCAGCGGTAAACAGGCAGATACGATGCAAATTGAACGGATATTGCACGGTCTTGAAAAATCTCATAATAAGAAACTTTTTCAAAACCTACTTATGCCATTTCTTCGGGCATAAAATATAAGGAGGACGTGATTCTCTATCAAGCGACTGAAAGAAAGCATATTTTTGTTCGTGGTTTCTATATAATATATTTGAATTTGCAAACCCATCGAAAATTAGCTAATTTAATAGTCATTTCTTACCGAATACCGATTCAACGGGAGATTTAAAAGCAGTGCATTCAAAAGCTGACGTCCTGCCTAGTCCGATATATTATAGAATGATGCCCCAAGAGAATCCGTTTTGCGACAGCGCTTAGGTCATCCTTCCTAATCGAAAACGTATTTCAGAATTTCAGCCAACATTTCATGAGATCGCTCACTGTACTCCCTGCTCAACGTCCTCCCAGTCTACGTTGAAATATCGTCCACCTACAGGCAAGAATGAGATGCTGAGCTAACGGCTGCTACTAATCTGCCGAGCCCTGACCGACTGCATGTCTCAAAATGTTCACATTATTGACTCCATCCGTGGATGGCGAATATTCAGCCTCTCATAAGCGTCTGATATCATTTATAGGGCAGCTGATTGGCTAGCGCAAGATCGATCGTTTCCAGAAGTCTCAGAATGGAGTTTTAGCACACGGCACGCACTGGTTGTGGCGGCTATCAAAAGACGTCTGAATACTTCAACGGCATGCCCAAGCATACCTCAAATACGAAAATCTGATTGAGTAAAAAATACTTTATTGGAAAATATTGACTAATTAAAAGGATACATCTGTAAAACTGTGGGCTGAATGGGACATCACAAATAAATACAAGCACAACAAAGCATGTTCTTTTGAGGTACGACCCCAGCAACAAAGGAACAGTTCCCGAACACGTTGACGCAAACCCCTACCTCGATTTCTCGACGAAGGTCTTCCAAGGGTTTGTGGAATGACGGCACCAGAAGGGCGGTCCGCAGTGTTACAATTTGAAGTCCCTGAAATATATTTCAAATAGTACGTTAAAATTGAGACCAACAACAGGATATTCAGATGTGGAATCTAGGACGACAAAGATAAATATCCGGTTAAAGCGTGCCTCAAACGATGTTAACCTAAATTCATGTACTCGGATACAGCAAAATTAGCTGGAATCTCCAGCAGGCGCAGATGCAATAAACCACACCTTGAGCGTGGAAGCGCGCTATTGCAGCTGGTGCATCTGGTCGACATGAGCAGTTAGTTTTGTGTATTCCACCCACTGGAGGGTCCGATGTGGTTACGTTGCTCCAACAGAAGTAAACAAACCCCAGCCACCTGTAATGTGGGACCGGTAGTAATAGGGGTTTTTACAGGTGAGGACGGGGTACGCACCTTCGACGTTAGGGCCCCTAATCAATAACGCCCAACCCTAACCCCTAGCCCCAACACCAACAGTATTGCGTCCACCAGGTGGGGTCACATAACCACATCTCACTCACTGGAGCATTAATTTAGCTAGTATTATCACTCAAACTCGGCCTTAGGCGTTAGATAACCGACTGCCTACAGTAAACGAAACCCTTTGAATTACTATCTTAAAAGAGTCCAGTGGGGATGGAAGATAGATAGTACCTGCAAAGCCATGAACATCTATGTGCGACGCCTCCGTTGCCGAAGAACCACACCAGTGCAAAGGCACCGAGGATGTACACGTGGAGTCCACCTCAAGGACCGCCTTCTTCTCCACCCCTGCGTTTTCATTGAGAGGACTACTTAACGAGTCGGGGATGACTACCTGTCGCTGAACTTACCAGCAATTGCCTATCGGTGATGACGAATTCAGTGATGGCGAGGGAGGGCTTTCGTTGCATCACCGTTGTTGCATTCGCTGGCTACAAAAAAGCAAAATAATAGGCCAGACGCATTCCGCACAGGTGGCAGATTGCTCTGGCTTTTTGCAGACACCCTCAATCATGCTGCGACTCATTCTTGAACACAATTTTGAAAATCCTCTTCAAAACATTGTCCAAGCAATGGCCAGTCTCAACATGAGGCAAGTCGGCCCCGCTCTCACTGTGCTCACTGTGACCGGAGAAATCAAAGGACTGTGTGGTCCCTTTCGTCGACTATTGTCCTATTCAGAACGCCTGTGCAAACAGCCTCACACTCCGCTATCGGTCAGCATTCATTAGTACCATGTAAGAAGCTTTGTGTGGAAAAATTGTCACGACATCTGGACGTCTCTACTGGAGACAACTAGCCTCCTCTCAGGTTGCAGTGACAAACAGTTGACTTCTCAACTTCCGTACGCCGACTAAGTCCGACATACAACGGTAAAACTGGTGCATCCCTGTGTATATCCAGCATGCAACCGCGTCCAATCTCTCTACCATTTGTCAACAATGTAGGGCCTAGTTACAGTAGAACAGTGATGTGACAACTGCACTTGGTATGCCTGGAAACTTCGGCATGTGCACACAACCACCTGCCGCATTCATATTTAAAAAATAGTATCTCCAGGTCCATACGCCAAAACTTATCGACACCTGGCTCTCTACAACAAAAAACGGACTGCCTACCGGTTACGTGAGTCGCCCGCGAACACCGATACCATACACAAGCAAGTAATTCGTTAGATAACAAATGAACTGCGCTTTCAGACTCGGAAACCATGTGCTACTTAGATTCTACACAAAACACCCACTTGAGTCTCTTCCATTCCCGACTTAAATGCGTCAGATGGGAAGCAAAGAGGAAGAATACCTGCAGATGTACGAATAGCTGATGCTCCTGTTTCCGTGTTAGAGGCCTCACCCAGGGAAATAGACATGGTAGGCGTTGGGTTAGGTGTAGTACGGAGACCTGTGGGAAACGAAATTGGAAAAGCCTCAATGTCAGACTCTATATGCAAAACACGGGCCAGCATGTGTGGTCTATCCTTCACTCACTAGAAATTATCAATTTCTGAAATACACTATAGCTGCTGTGATATTCGCATTCGCTTAAGAAAGAACCAGAAGGACAGGCTGGATACATGCGCGGTTTGCGCGAATATCAGTGGCGATGGGGCTGTAGATTGCGTGACCGATCTAATGAAATGTTGGCCGAAATTCTGAAATGTGTTTTTGATTGAGAAGGATTACTTAGCCGCTTTTGTAATACTCATTATCTCGCGGCATAATCCAATGATATTTCGGACTTGGCGGGATGTCAGCTTTTGAATACACTGTTTTTTTTTAGTTTTCTGTAGTACCCGAACTTGGCAAGAAATGATTGCTTAAGGAGCATGCACTTTTCCCATTGATTTTCGACGATCATGCAAAATCCAATATACTTTATAAAAACCACGAGCAAAAATATGCTATCTTTCAGTCAGGTGATAGACAATCACATCGTCGTTATATTTTAAACTCTAAAAAGGGGTATAAGTAAGCTTTAAAAAAAAGTTTTCTAATCCCGTGTCCGGGTGTCAACTCAACATCGTCGCCCTCGTGGAGCCAGAATATGCGTATTACTTGAGGGATAAAAGGCTTTGATCATGCCGATGATATTTGGCGGTACACCACCTATTACCATTCTCCACCACAGGGACGCATGATGGACGGAAGCAAACGCGGTGACAGTCAGCAAATCAGACAACCCTCGGCTGCTGGTAGTTATAGTGAAATCCGGGAACGCACCTCAGTGTTAATATATGGTCTGCGCATCCACGTCCAGCACAAAATCCGGCTTGCTTGGACATTCTGCTGGAGCCACGCACAGCCTTCAGTCGCATAAGAAGGACAATAACGAGGAGCCTCGCAGCAACATCGATGAGGCTTATGCTGCGGTAGTTCTCGCATCCTGCCTTCGTTCCCTTCTTGAGGATAGGCATAAGCATGCCTGAGTCCCAGTCATAAGGAGCAACCTCATTTCTCCACTCGCGTTCAAACACATCACATAGACAGGGCGCCAGAGTGTCAATAAAAGACTTGTAGATATCACGGCGTATAGCGTCCTCTTCGGCTTCCTTGCATTGCGCAGATTATTTCAGAAGATTGGCAGGTATTTCATGAGATAGCACATCCCACTCTATATTCAGAGTCGAAACTCACGTGCTAATTACAATCCACCCAAATTACCCACTTGAATCCCCTGAATACCCAATAAAAATGAGTCAGATGAGACGGGATGGGAAAGAATACCTGCAGCGCTGTGAATCTCGGAGGTTTCTGAATCCGTCGTCGAGGCCTCATCCACGGAAATAGACACAGAAGACGTTGGGGTGGGTGTGGAACAGAGGCGTGTGTAAACTGAAATTGGAGCAGCATCAATGTCAATCTCTAATTGCAAAACACCGTCCAGCATGTGTGATCAATCCCCCCCACCCCAACACCCCACCTCACCCCCGCCTAGTGATTACTCTTGGTGAAAGAATCGGCATCTCTGTGGGATCCACATCCGCGGAAATAGACACAGAAGACGTCGGGGTGGGTGTAGAACAGATGCGTGTGTCAACTGAAATTGGAGCAGCCTCAATGTCAATCTCTAATTGCAAATCACTGTCCAATATGTGTGATCTATCTCCCACCCCCAACACCCCACCCCACCTCCCACAGTGATCACTCTTGGTGAAAGAATCGGCATCTCTGTGGGATTCACATCCGCTAAAGCATGAACAAGGCATCAGTACGACCTAACCAAATGAGCAACTAGACTCCGATCGAGGCATCCGATGCTTTTACCAGTAGATGATTAGCCGAATAATTATAATATTCAAAAGCACCTACTAATGGAGAAGATGTAACCCAAGTTCCAATTAGGCTACACAGTATCAACAGAGGCCATGAAATCATCCGTGCATATACTACGTCAGAACAATACTGGAGGCTAAGGTGATCACACGGTGATTCGATCATGTCTTTTTCAATTATCAAAGAGCACATTTTCATGTCTGTCATCCAATCAAGACCAAATCGGGACACATCTCGTGCTTTTTGAGTAGGTATGGCCTAGTGTCCTTCATAGGTCATGGCCAAAATATTACAGTTAGGTATCTTACAATTCTATTCGATGGAATGCTTCGCCTGGCTAAAAGTAGAATTGGCAGCCCCTTGGGACATTATTTAGCTTTTGTCATCATTTAAGTCGACTTTGGTGCCGACAACTTGATAACTCGAGAAGGAATTAGAATCTACTCAGAACACCCACCGTGATATTTTGAATTCCTGATGAAAATGAGTCAAGTGAGAAGGGATGAGAAAGGATACCTGCAGCCGTTTGTATATCCGATGTTTCCGCTTCCGTCCTCGAGGAGTCGGACAAGGAAAAGGACATGGATGAGTTGGGTGTGGGCGTGGTCCCGAGGCCTGTGGGGACTCTATTTGAGACGGCGTCAATATCAGTTTCTAAATGCAAAACATTGTCCCGCATGTGTGATCTCTTCCCTCAGTGATGTTAAAATTCCATTCCTACAAGATTCCCACCACCCAGTGATTCTAGTCATGCAGAGCTGGTTAACTGGATTGCGGTTGAATGACAAAAGGACATGCCAAGTTTGTTTACGCTGTTGTTGCATGCGTCAGTCCTTAGCTCTTGAGTAAATCGAAGTAAACACATTGGCAATTATTTTTGAAACAGTACTTAAAGGCCCCTGAATGTAAATTACAAAAGTCTCAAGGGAAAATTATCCAGATTCCTCTCGAATTAGGACACTCTAACTCACCACCTCCTGAGGCGGTGTGTCTATTTTAAGACCATCCTGCAGATGCTTCAATCTGTGCCCATTAAATCACAGGTTATCTCTCAATTACAGTCAGTATAAACGGATGGAAACAATACTCACCCATGAGTCCATTTTTATTCCATTGGTCCACCAAGGCCCTGAAGTTAATTCCAGCCACATCCTCCAGGATGGCTGCATAAGGTGAATCAGCTTCGCCGGCCTCCAACAAAACTTCATTCTTCTTTCCTACAACGGCAGTTGTGGCAGGCATAAGCAGGTACTACTAGCATATTCATGTCAGACAGTAAGATACATGACAATGCATACCGACTGTCGATCTGGACTGTGTCCACCGTGTGCCCCACAACAGGATGAGAGCAGAGACGATGACTTGTGCATGAAAATGGACTTGCACAGCATCCCTCGCATTCTCTATTCCTACTCCACACCTTGACTCGGTGTCACGTCAGAGTCAAAATGAACGGAGTCAGTTAGGGCGTGTATGAATGGCACGGTCGAGCCCGCACCTCAGCGCTTCCCTCCACATACCCTGGTCCATACTGCAAATGACCAGGTATGTCGATTGAGTACCAATACCTCACAGAAAGCCCATGTTTGCATATATTTCAAACGTCCACTAACTGCCGTAGCATGGTTATTAAACCACACGTCTTCCTCTGTTGGCGTGCCAGGTAATACTGTAGGCAGCGAATACGTGTAGGCCGTTCTATGACGTCTTTGTGTGAGATTCTGTGATTTCTGTTGTCTCTACTGTACCCCTATCAGTGCGACTAGTGGGACAGAGGATGAGTAATTATTGGACTTACCGATCCTGCCGTACAGAGGTAGGAGTCTGGGCAACCATAAATGTATTTGCAACAATGACTGTCTTCGCATTTCTAGGCTCTGCAGTTATTCTTTCTCATCCCTTTCCATCCGACTCATTTAAGTCGGGAATGGAAGAGATTCAAGTGGGTGTTTCGCCTAGATTCTAATTAGCACGTGGTTTCCGAGTGTGAATGTGCAGTAGATATGTTATCTCACGAATTGATCGCGTGTGTATGGTATCGGTATTCGCAGGCGACAATCCAGTGCAGGGACACGTAACCGGTTGGCGGTCCGTTTTTGGTTGTAGAGAACCAGGTGTCGATAAGTTTTCGTGTATAGACTTGGATATACTATATTTAAAATATGAATGTTGAAGCTGGTTGTATGCACATGCCTAGTATTCTATGCAGATCAATTTCAGTTGTCACATCTCTGGTCTACTGTAATTGGGCCCTACAGTCTTGGTAAATGGCTGAGAGATTAAACGTGGTTGCATGCTGGATATACACAGGGATACACCAGTTTTACCGTTGTATGGCGGACTCAGTCAGTGTACAGAAGTTGAGAAGTCAACTGTTTATCACAGCAACCTGAGAGGAGGCTAGTTGTCTCCAATAGAGACGTCCAGATGTCGTGACAATTTTTCCACACAAAGCTTCTCACATGGTACTAATGAATGCTGACCGATAGCGGAGTGTGAGGCTGTTTGCACAGGCGTTCTGAAGAGCACTATAGTCGATGAACTGAACCACAGAGTCCTTTGATTTCTCTGGTCACAGTGATCACAGTGAGAGTGGGTCAGCTTGCCTCATGTTGAGACTGGCCATTGCTTGGGCAATGTTTTGAAGAGCGTTTTCAGAATGGTGCTCAAGAATGAGTCGCAGCATGACCGAGGGTGTCTGCAAAAAGCCAGAGCATTCTGCCACCTGCGCGGAATTCTTCTTGCCTATTATTTTATTTTTTGGAGCCAGCGAAGGCAACAACGGTGATGCAACGAAAGCCCCCCCGCCATCACTGAATTCGTCATCACCGATAGGTAATTACTGGTAAGTTCAACGACAGGTAGTCATCCTCCCCCGGCTTAGTAGTCCTGACTAAGAAAACGCAGGGGTGGAGAAGAACGTAGTCCCTGAGGTGGAGTCCACGTCTGCATCCTCGGTGCCTCTGCACTGGTGTGGTTCTTCGGCAACGGAGGCATCGGACTTAGATGTTCATGGCTTTGCAGGTACTATCTATCTTCCATCCCCACTGGACTATTTTAAGCCAGGAATTCAAAGGGTTTCATTTACCGTAGGCAGTCGGTTATCTAACCTTTGAGTGTGGAATCTTGCGATTGTGCCTGGTGTCTGAGGCCGTTCTTTACAAAACTTTTCGGGTATCCGTTAGATCGAAACAACCGATACAGGTACGCAAGCTCTTTCTTCAGAAGATCGTCACTGTTGCAATAACGATAGGCCCGGTGTAACAGAGTTCGGACGTAGCTTCTTTTGTGAGCCTCGGGGTGGTGGAGGATAATTTCAGAATTAGATCCTTTCCGATGGACGCTCGTCGCGAAACTACCACCGCTCAGCCTTCATATTCTCACGTCAAGAAACGGAAGGTTGTCCCCTATTGCCTCTTTACGAGTAATCTGTATGGACGGGAAGACATCATTCAGTCTCTGATGATATATAAGCTTCCCATAAGTCAAAAATCGGGGATCCTTTACCGGACAGAATGCAAATGTGGCCTGGTCAGTTATGTTAGGTGAAACCGGCAAACAGGTTCGCACGATATTTCACGAGATTGAGCTGACTGTAAGACGGAAAGTTAAACTCTCCTTAGTAGCCGTCCACTCCTCCTCATCAGGACACGGCTTTGACTTTGAGTGCGTGAGAATTTTGGGCCAGTCAGACGACGGAGTTGCGCGCCTGCTGCAGGAAGCGTCGCACTCAACTGAGAACTCGATCAATCGACATATCGATCGGCTAATCGTTTATCAAGCACTGCGTGAACAAATCAGCATCGCAGCTGGAGGTCATCCCCGACTGATGTAAACTAAAAACGCGATGTGTTGTACAGTTTTTCATTCCTTGACGATGGGCTCGCGTTCGAGTTCGAAACGTCGGATAAATAAACAATTGGTCCCAGCGATTGCATTCCCGTCTTCTTCTCTCCAATTGCCTGGACGGCGTGCATTCTCTCTCATTCCAGATATATAACGTTAAGAGCGAAAATGCTGACCCCGTGTCTTCGGATGGAAAATGAAGGTAAGGTAGGCCCTAGGTATAAAGGCAGCTGCCCCAGGACACTTCTTCCCGCACAAACACACCGCCTAATCATGCAGCCAAAGGGTAAGCTACCACCCTGAGGATACGTCCGCCGTCATTTACTGCGCTAACTTTTTAGGCTGTCGGGCCAATTACTGCGGCATGACCAACAAACGACTGATAACGCGAATGCATGAACACGCTTTAGCCGTTAAACGAAGGAACGTGCGATCACCGGTCGCCACGCACGGTCTGGAAAATGACCACTCGTTTGAATTTGACAGTGTGCAAGGACTCGGCCGATGGAAAGTTGACTGGCGAGAGAAATAATTGAGGCCTGGCAATCAGACGCCAACTCGATAAAACGAAACGCCGGCCTAACGGTGTCATACGTGACCGCCAGCCACCACTTACGTAGTCAGGGTAGATAATGATGGCCCTATCTGCGGTGAGAAAAGACTTATTTAAACCATGCATTTCTCTATTATCTATCTCCGATAATGCGCACAAGTACGAGAATGGAAGGTTAGATGAATAAATAATCATCTCCAGAGTACCATCCGTAAACCCGAGGTTAGGTATTTATGTACCGTAAACCGGACTGGAAACAGCTCGCATAACCGAATCAGAATTATAAAAAACTAAAGCAAAGTCTATTTAATTTGCGAAGCCTTGCCTGTCATAATTTGCAATATCCCCCGAACTTTTAAAATCAGATAAATTCACTACGACGCCAAGTCCAAATGCTCACCCCCTGAATTCGCATCGGAGTTCGTGAAGTTCGTATAGCCCAGATGAATTATCACGATAACATCTCCAACACGACTTTGTCCACCTGAAAATAATTGAGAAAGCTTACCACGTTTTGTAATATACTCAAACATTTCTCTGAAATAACAACGCTTGCCTCCTTGCATAGGTTATGCTCTTATACCAGAAAGACGACTGAGGTACTTTGGACGGGCTCTTCGTCGTCTACCTTAAGAGTTCAGTGTTACTACCCTCGATCCGCCACCGTTACCCCATCAGAGAAGTCGAAGAGGGGGTCAAATCAAAACCTGGTTCGACGCAGTCTGTCAAGACATGGAAGTGATGCTTGGACCTTGGGAATTCGGTCTCCGTAGTTGGCGAAGAGTAGGAGTTGAACGATCCAGATCTGCAGCCACTAAACGTCAGGCGTTGAGAGGTACAGTTTGGGGCATCATCGAGGCTGGCTAGATTAAGCATGATCGCAGTTCTACCAGGTACAAGTAAGTAACCGAACAGACCGTGAGCCAGTCCGTCCGACACTGTACTCTGGCAGTCATTGGTGAGTGTCTACATTCACCCCGCCAGTCTATATTGTCGTTTATTAGGCTCCAGCTTGGCGTATGCCTGAAGCTGATGCCAGCAGTTAACTCAATCGTGCGCCGACGCACATTATGTTCCATACTCTGTACGGGAAACTATGAGTAGCCTGAACGTAGTCCACTGAGATCGTGTGCCAGTCAGTATGGCGCGCGACAGGGAGCGTGTGGGGTGTATGCCGTCTGTTCGCCATCGTGCTGTCTTCAATAAGACGCCACCCATTGAAAACTATCTATCTCAACCGGATTAAAAGGAAAACATGTTTATCGCAGTCGCAAAGTCAGTACATTCGGACAGCCTGTTAGAAACTGATGTCGGGGAGTGGGGGGGGGGAATTATGCTAAGTGAGGCCGTTTGGGACTCATCTCATGCTTTCCACACAGAAAAATGATTGGGATAGGGCCAATGTACGCAGCCAATTCATTCATTGGCGTTACTTTGTTTAGGAAGATTAGTAAACAGTCTGGCGCACTGTGCAGCCGCTTGGCACAAATGCATAGCTGATTCCACAAAGTCTACCACACTCGAGGGCGCGTTTCCCATATATCATAGCATAAACACACAACTCGACTAGGGGTTTCATTTTCCTCAATCTGAACGCTTCTCCGCAATCTTTTAAACGAAAATTATTTAAAATTCGTCATTTACTCATTAAAAACTGCTCACAGTGCTTGGATTCGCATGTAGCAGAAAGTGCAGAAAATCTAAATGCATCTCCTACCCCCTTCCAGGTGCAGACAAGTACGCAGTGCATACCTTCGAAGTTATCCATTTCGTTCCAGCCAACCGTTTGAGCATCACCAAAGATCCAAACTACGAAAATGTTACGCGACTTTCGTCAATCACGTCCGCAATTGAGGAACGGGATTTGGTTAAGGAGCAAATCGGTAAGGCCTACAATTTCATCAAGGATACAGCGCTTTACTTGTTACGTCTACCGTTGCCCAACGTCTATTTATATCTCTTTCCAGAGCACAGAAATGTGAGGAAGGTTAGTGCTGCGAATACATTTATAGTTGCTCCGACTTCCGCCTCTGTACGGCAGTATCGGTAAGTTCACTAATTACTCATGGTCTGTCTCCTTAGTCGCTCTGACAGGGGCACAGCAGAGACGACAGGATTCTCAGAATCCCGCACAGAAAGGCGTCATAGAACCGTTTACACGTATTCACTGCCTACTATATTACATGGCACGCTAACAGAGGAAGACGTGTGGTTTAATAACCATGCTACGGCAGGTAGTGGATGTTTGAAATAAACGCAAATATGAGCTTGCTGTGAGATATTGGTACTCAGCCCGCATAACTTCAGCTTGCATTTACATCTGCCAGGCAATTCGAATAAGTACTTGTGTACATTGCCCTTATCCTAGGTTAAGGCTGTACGAGTGGATATTTTGCGCAAACCTAGAAAATGAGCAATCTCTTCAAGACGTTTGCCTTGGTGGAGCTTTAGTGCAGTTTGACGTAGATGGCGTACACAGGCCTGAGGAAATGACACGAGAGAGACTATGTTGTCTATTTAGGGAAGCTCATAATGAGTGGTGGAGAAGGTTACGCAGTCCGTCTACGGGTGCCACACAATCGGTCCCATGCCCGATCCGTGTGTCAGGCAAGATTTGTCAGGGGTCTCCCATCTCACGTAAAAGGGCAGGCTATACAGGTCACGTTAAGCAAGGAGACATGACTATGTGACCCAGTGTCCTGAGAAGGGGTGTGTTTCCCCGTCGGCTGGCGCCCCTTCAATCGAGCACTCTCATCGCGTCATGATGGCTTAAAGTGCGTCGGAATTACTTTTTCCCATAGAGAGGAATGTGTGTGTGTACCCCCAAAGGGGCCACGTTTTAGATGCGCTGGACAAACATAGCGGTCACATCGCATTCCGGCAGGCGTTATCTTTGCGCAATAACAGATGCCAATAACTAGGGGGTGCACTGGCAGACCCTGTTGTCGGCAGCCGTCGCACAAACTGGGACCACTGCCACGCCCCACCCCCTCCCCCGATTATTTTGGCGATTAAAAACCTGGTCATTTGTTGTGTGGGCCAGGGGATGCGGATCCGTCCAAGCCATCCACCTGTGGCCTCCCTCATCTCCGGTTTCTTCATTCTGTCTTGACACCGGGCTCAGGTGGGGCAGGAGGAGAGAGTGTGGTAGCAGAATTCACAACCTAAAAATGTTAAAGATAATGTTACGCTGCTTTCGGTAAACGCGGAGAGTCCCTAAAACGTCAAAATGGTTACGATTGTGTAAACTGCGGTTTTTGATATAGAGGAAGCTTGTCAATGAAAGTACTGATTAAATATAAAAAGTGCAAATATAGTAACCTCCAAAGATAATCATCAAGTGTAGTTTTTATTTAAGAGAGATTAGGGCAATTGCGGATATGGCGGCTTGCCAACGGCCTGCACTTTTAGACTAGATCCCAAAAAGGTTTCCCGGGGTTTCGTTGTATTTTTTACACTTCTGAATCGAATGAGACGCGGCTACTTAAAGCATACAGACTTTTGCTTGATTTCGCCCACAGGGACATCATTGAAACAAAGGTTTTTACAGGCGGATCAGTGACTGACAAATTTAAATAGAATCGCAGTCGTGATTGTGAATGTACCAATATGCGCACGTAATGAGGGCGTTTCTTCTGTGATATTAATTTGCACTTTTTCTTTATTCTGGATTACGTATAGTTGCAGTTCCGTCTTAAAATATCACTAAATACTCTAACCCTCTCATATATGAAATTATAATTTCCAATCGACTACCCATAAGAATTTTTAACAGATTTTGTATTACCCGTTGCTGAAGCCTTAAAATATGATACTCGTTTAAGGCATTTACGAAAGTAGCGAGGTTTATGGCGTTCTTTTTCATGTAGAATGTAGTTTGGGCCACCATTACTTCACTTCAATTGAAGTGAATCGATCCGAACAGAAGACCTCATCGTCGAATAAAATAGACACTAGCAACAAAAGTCAGCACCGAATATGATTTCGATCGACTAGAAAATTCGCTTTAATAAGTTGCCTTTATGCCGAGTGCTTTAATGTGGCATTCCACTGGTGGATATCTGTATACTTCGCATCTTTTCACGCTAAAGTCGAGAAGGAATTCGAAACCTTTGGCGTTTATTTGACGTCGCTTAAAAAATACTGATATTTTTCTACCATAAACGTAAGAACCTACTCTTATCTTTAGATAGCGTCCATTTCTGCTATCTTTGCTCACTTTTAGGATGGCGAATGATCAAAAAACGCCGCATGCGGATGGGTTTCAGAGCGCTGAAGAGTGATTAGTTGACAGAGGAATATATAAGGTTGTGTAGCGCAGCGTTCGAACACTTGCACGAGTATCACGATGGTATCTGTTTCCGCCGCTGATTTGAAATTCCGCGAGACTTTGCTCGGCCGGTTTTGTCAAATGCTGAGAGATCTGGAAGACGCTATTAAGGGGTTTAGCCAAGAAAGAAAGTTCAGTTTATTAAGGGAAATAGGGATAAGCCTTTGGGTACCCTATTTCCAACTTTTAAAATGCGTGGTATACAGATAAATGTTCTGGGCTGAAATAGTTTAAACACGCACATAATGGGGAGGACAAAGTGTGAATGAGTTACTGGGGGTGAGCTCTACTCATCGCCGTTGGTCATTTCGGAACATAAATGTGTTAAGATTCTTTTTAAAGCTTTGTATATATGGTGACATCACAACATCTGTGGGGAGGGCATTCCATGGTTTGACCACTCGAACAGAGAAGGAGAACTTCCGCACATCTAGCCTTGCCTGCTGAGTGCGCAGTCTTAACGGGTGACCTCGGAGGTTGGTCGTGGTAGCAAATTCAAAAAAGTCCTCGAAGGCCAGACTGCAGTCTAACCCCTTTACAATGCGGAAGGCTTGCAAGAGATCCCGCAAAGTTGCATGAATCTCAAAGGAAAGAGGTTCAGATTTACTAGGCGGATTGCATAAGGAAAGGAGCTTTGAACCCTTAAGATCTTCGTGTCTCTCCTCTGGACTCTTTCGAGGCAGTTTCGATCCTCAACCGCTCACGGCCTGCAGGCCTATATGCCGTACTCTAAATGCGGCCGGACGAATGCTCCGAATGTCTTAGGGAAAGCATCTTCGTCAAAGTCCATAAACGCACGCTTGACGGCGTACGGTACGGACATTGCGCTTTTGCCACCCTGGAACAATGGGCGGACGGCTTTAGGGAACTGGTCATTAGCACACCGAGGTCCTTTTGGGCTTCGACATCTTGTAGGGCAGCACCGCTCAGAAAGTAGTCTCTTGTACTGGCGGATCTGGCTGTGTTGCCTAGGCGAAGTTTACTACATTCGGCCACGTTGAACCGCAGGAGCCAACGGTTTGACCACTCCTCCAACCGAATTAAGGTTCATCTGCAGTCTGTATTCGTCGGCATGACCCCGAATTACACTCCATAACTTCATGTCATTGCCAAGCATTGCTACTTCGCAGTCTTAAGCTCTTGCAGCATCGTTCACGTAGATGAGGAACAAAATGGGTCCTAACACTGAACCCTCGGAGACACCACTCTCAACTATAGCATGATCTGATTTTCCCACAACCGATGAACACAAACTGGTGTCGACCCACAAGGAAGTATTCGTTCCAATTAAGGAAGTTGGTACTGATCCCTATTTTCCTAAGTTTACCTCACGGAAAAGGCGCGCAGCTCAATTTCAAAGATAAGTGAAGCTCTGCATTTATCTGGATATTCTTAAGTAATTAATGCCTGTTTTTTACTTGAGTCCCTTTTAAAAGTCGCCTTTCAATATCAGGTAACATTTTTTCCCAGTTTTGTTTGACAGTCTGACAAAATAGTCGTATTTTGTGAAAAATCCATTGTAGTGAATCCTTTCCCTACTACCGCTCTCTAGTTATTGTAGTTAAATAGCAGTAATACTTGCTATTTAATGCGCTTTTCCGTACGTTGGAAACGTTTTGATCCTTCTTCTGTAACGAAAAACTTTTTTTGTCTGTAATGCCCCGCAGAGCACGTGCTAAAAGGCGAAACCTTGCGGCCTCCCCACCGTCTCTGGGTGCTAAAATCGTGACTGAAGACATAGCAGGTGCCAGAGTATGTTCTTCGCCGTCTGCAGATCTCATTAACTCACAAATCCCTTTAGTACATGTAGAACCTCTCGACCCTTCAGTCGTCCAAAAATACGACCCTGCTAGTCGTTGTAGGCCATCAGCCGGCGAAATAGTCGACCAGTTGATTTATGGCGACATAAACAGCACTTCTGAAAGAGTAATTGAACAAGCTTTTAAACTTATTGGGGTAATAAGTTCGGAAACTGAGGAACGAATTAAACGCAAGCATAATTTCGTACTGCGAAACATTCCGAGCCACTTATCTGCTATGGAGGGAGCGCATGTGTTCCTACAAAGTTGTGGCTTCGGTTTCAGTGTCGCACAAGCTAAGCGACTTCGCTCGCTTAGCCGTAATGCGCCGATACTAGTTACCCTTTTCTCCATGATAGAAGTCGATTTTATCTTGTCGAGTAGGGAGATGACTAGAGACTTCTGCCGTAAATGGCGCTGCTCCGTTTCGCCAGACCTCACACCCCTGCAGCGAAGACTGAATTAACTAAAATCAGCAAAAACCAACACCAAGATAATGACACCTATTGTCAGTATGAATAAGTCCTCTACAACACCATCTGCGGCATCTGCACCTCACGGCATAGTCAATTCCGTAGGGAATTCGACTACTTTTAATGCTGAGCTCTTTAAACACACCATCACGCCTGATATGTCTCT